TATTACATTTTAATTTAATATTTAGCCATATTTGTTTTTATTTAGCATAGTTTACGCTGTAATTACTTTTGTAATTTTTGTTTTATTCTAGCACATTTTATATTTTTATTTTTATTTTCTTGTTTTATTTCATTAATTCTTTTTTAATCTTACTATGTAATGTGATCTTACAAGAAAAATTTATCTCATCATTTCTTAATATATTTAATTTGAATTTTTTCTTCTATTTTATTACTACTTATTTATACTGCTAATTTTTTAAACTATTCACTAAGTTTTTCCACTAAACTAATTTCTTAAAACTAATTAAAATAAAATTGATTTATTAAGAAAAATGTGAAAAAAGGAAACTAATAATTAAAAAATTAAATAAATAATATTTTAACAAATAATATTTTAAATTAATTATTTAATTTACTAAATGACACGTTTTATATTTTATTATTGCGTTTAAAAATTATTTAAACAATTCTAACAGCATTCTTCAAGACAAGTTGTTTTTTGCTGCTTTATATATTATTTAATAATTTCGACTAGACGACGCTATCTTGTATATACTTTGCTTCACTCCAATAAATTTCAATAATATATAATTCAGTATGTTAGCACCTGTTAACTTATTCAGATGATATATATTAATTAATTTAGATATTAAACTTTTAATACTCAGTGTTTTGTATTGATTTAAGATTTTATGCTTATGAACGTTAGTATGAAGGTCTGTTAATGACTTTAACTATTATTTACTTGCAAATAATGTAAAACAATATATAACATATTATTTTAAAATATATTTATAAACTTCATGGCATAAAATCTCTCACAGCTTATATTTCAGAGCATGTAACTTCTATGATTATTCATAGGAAGTAGTTTTCTCCTTCTTATAAACATATAATTATATAATAAAAGCTAAAGAATTTTGATTTAAATTTTATAGATTATTTAAATGAAGTTTTATTCCAGGTTCATTTCAATAAATTTTTTTTTCTCGTGCTAGTCTCGCAGCTAAACTTTGCTTTTCAATTCGTACTTAATATTACACATATCCCTTCATTCCGTGTCATTTTGTAAGAAATGGTTTAATTATTGTATTTGTGATTTTTTTTTTTTGACAAGTATATATATATATCTTTTAATTTTATTTAGACTATACTGTTTACTAAGAAGTCTTATATGGCATATGAATCGTTTCGAATTTGAATTGAATCTTTTCGACTTAAAGTTTCGAACATACAATGAAACTTGATTGTAATTTATAAGATACATTATTGAAATGACTGTAGAATTCGAAAATAATTCAAAATGAATTGAATCAGTTCAGTTAAGCATTTCAATTAAATGTTTTCAATATAATGTTACCGATATTAATTCATCTTCTTTTTTCTGTTACTTATAGATCAATCTGTACTGATTCAAAATCATGAACATTGGGTATATCTGTATAAGTGGAAAAGGTGCATTTTTATTTTCTTTATAGAAATTGGAATGTGTGGTTTATGTTTTTTGTTTAATCTTTTTTAAATTGATGGAAAAATTCGTATGTATGTTGGTGTATATTTTAAAAAAATTTTGTTTATATATATATATACATAAATATATATATATATATATTTAATATCGTAATAAAATCATTTAAAAAATGTTTTGCATCAGTCTAAACCACTTTTGTCTTTATTATATTATAAGCATTTGAAAAACATAATAAAAACAATAAAAATATAAAATTTTATTGTCTTAAAAACTATATATTTAAAAAAATATTGTATTTTTTTTTCTGAAAATAGGAAGACTTTGGCCATTTTGTTGTGTTTAAATTGTATAAGTTATATAAATAACATAAGTATGCCAAAAGCAAAAAAAAAATATGTGTCATGAAAAGTGCAAAATTTTAGGAATGTTCGCTATTATAATTACTCCCGTTTAAAACATTTTCTTTTTTCTTGTATAAGTTAGTTGTTGTAGGTTTATATGAAATTAAAATCACAAATACAAAAACATAATTTTAAATTTTCTTAAAAACAAAAACCATAAATATTTTTTTTTTTTGAATTAAAAATATTTAAAACTATAAATATTTTTTTGTTTTTAATTAAAATAATTTTTTTTCTAATAATTTAAAATTGTTCTTAAACTTACGCTACAAGTTCTTATAACTATATTTATATTTAAATTTAATTTTTACTCTTTTTCATATAAAACTACTTTTTATGCTTAAAATGTATTTTGTTTTTCACTGTTTCAAACTAGTCTTTAGTTTTTTTCTTCACTAAACTACTTATTTGTAAACGATTTAACAAAAATTTAATAAAAAAAAATTAACAAAATGTTAAGCAACAACTAAAATGTGCTACTCTTAAAAACTTAAAGATTTTTTTTTTAAATAAATAATTAAAATATATTTATGTTTAAGTTAAAAATCTGTAGAAAGTTTCTGAGCACAAAAACACTTAAACAGTACTTTTTATTTATAAGTTAAGTAATTAAAAATATATTTTTAATTTAACTGAATACAAATTAAAAACAATACATCAAATTTATAAAAACAAAAGAAAAAACAAATATAGAAAAAAACAAAAATTTAATATATGTTTCAAAAATGTAATATTGTTTAAACATTTTCTTTCAAAAAGATTTGATATATTTTTTGTGCTTATTTATTTTTCTCATCTTTGCATACTAAATGTTGCTTGCTTAAAATTTATTGGTGCTTCTTTTTAGCCCACAAATTCTATTAAACTTTCTCCTAATAATTCTTAAATTAAATTTGAAATAAATTATTTTAAAAAGAATCTTTTCTACGCTACAGTGTTCTCTACTTTTTTTCAACCTACGACATTTCAACTACTGAACTTTGCTGGTATTTCTTCTATATTTTTTATTCTGAAAATTGTTGTTCCTACTTCTGCTTCTTATAAAAATCTACATTTTTAACTATTTTTTATGTTTCAATTTTTTTTTGTATTTTTTTGTTCAAATACTTTTATTTTCAAAAATTTAATTTGTTCTTTTTTATTTTTCATATTTGTTTTTTTTTTCATCAATAAAAATCCCGGTTTTTAAACAATTTGCCATTCCAGCCTCGTTTCATTTTTCTTTCTTCCAACAATTTAATTTTATGCGCTGACTCTTTCTTCTCAGTTCTTGAAAATTATTTTAAAAATATATATTTAATATAAATAATAAGTTTTTACAATTTTGTAGCCATTATTTGTTTTCTAGAAAGTTTCCATTATTTTCTTCGCTGTTTAGAAATGAAAAGTTTTTCATATATTACGTAAAAATTAGTTAAATTTAAAAGATTTTTTTTAATAAAAATCTTTATCAACTTATTTTATGCATTACTTTTTTATTTGGTTGCTTAAGTTTTTTTTTCTAAACAATTGGCACAAGTTCTATTTGCTACTTTCTTTCAATATAGGTATTTTCTATAATTTTAGATCTGTTACACTCAGAACTTGATTCCATTTTATATGTGACCTAAGCCTCTTTATATAACATCAAATATAAGAATAAAGAGATAAGTGCTTAGTAATATACAGATCTTAACAATTAACAGATATTCTTCATCTTCGCATTGGTGCCAATTTTTATATTCACATATTAACTATATTTCTATACAAGTTTTATAACATTTAAACCACTTATTCGAACTCATTATATATACTGTATAACGAAAGCGACAAATATTTTAATATGTTGTTTGGTTTTCATTTATATTACTATATTATACAAAATTTTTTTCAAATGATATATAAATTAATTTCTTTTGGATAAGTTGCTAAATAATATTTTAAACAAAAACAACTAAAAAAAATAAATAAATAAAATACAATTAATAAACAAATAATAAATAAAATTAATAAATGAAGAGAATAAAATTTACAAATAAAAATAATAAAATAAATAAATAAATAAAATAAAAAAATTAAATAAATTAATAAAATAATATGCATTAATTATTAATCAAAAAATTAAATAATTTTATTGGATACAATAAATTTTGTATCCATTTAATAATTTTTAAATATTATTTATTTGTTTTAAAAATAAATAATTACTATTGACATTTTAATTTTTTATTATAAATTAATTTTAACTGAAATGCAGGTCGTTAGGTATTAAATACAAATAAAATTTTTTATTATTGATTTATTAATTTTATTATATTTAAAACTTAACGTGACAACCAGTTATAATTAATTAATATTTTTTAATAAAAATTCAATAAATATTAATTAATAATTCAAACAAAATAATATATATAAGATGTACGTATATACATATATGAATAAAAATTATATTATTATAATTATAAATAACTATTATAAATAAGAATTTAAATAAAAATGTACATATATATGTACAACCTAATGATATTCTTTTAATTTTAATTAATTTCCACTTTATAGATGTTAATGTTTACTAATAAAATTATTAAAAAATATATAAAAAAAAATTATTAAAAAAAATTACATTCATATTTTTAAAATATGAAAAAATAATAAAATAAAAAAGATAATAAAATAAAAAAATAATTAAAAAATATAATAAAAAAAATATTTTTAAAAATGGGTTGATTTTAATGATCGATCAGTGATCTTTATTTTATTTTTTCTGAGAATTACAAATAGGTATTTTACCCAAAATTTTCATGTAATAATAATAAATTCTTGCAAATGTATTGGAAGTTAAAAACATTCGCCTGTTTTTAAGTTATTTTATAAACAATTCAGTAAGTATAAAAAAAAGCGTTATATTTTTATACTTTAAGCACCAAACTTATTTTTTTGTCGTTTACGTCTATTTTTGCTCTTCTATTGACTGACTTAGAATGAGATTGAGTTCCAATGTGGCTTTGCATTAGAAATTAATTTAGTTTTTAGCATCTTCAACTTTATTTTGCAATTCTAATTTGCGCTTTTTGTTCATATTTCCTTAATTTTATATCTTTACTTCTGTTTAACTTTTTTTTACAAAATATGTTTTTATATATTTTTGCTTCTCTTTAATTGTTTGTAAATTACTTTTTGTTAAATATTATTTTTATTTAAATTTTAGTCTTATTTTCATCTTCGTCACTTAAACAGATAATCATTAAAAAAAAATTGTGTTATTAAAAATATTTTTAACTACAGTTTTGTAGTTGTAAATTTGCTTTTTCATCTTTGATGGTTTTTTCTTGTTTCCTTGCTTGTTTAATTTTAAAGAAAATTAATGTTTATAATCCGAATCCAGTTCAGATATTATCGCGTTACAATGTTAAGTGTGGTAATATGAAATTACATCTGTAAAATAAAAAAAAAAATTTAATTAAAATTTGTTAATAGAAAATTTTTCAATTTTTGTGGGTTTTATATTATAAGTAAAGCTTAACTAAAAAAAATTGAAATAAATAAAAAAATTATAAATTTATAATTTTTTAATATAATATATATTAAAATATATATATATAAAATTGACTTCATCGGCTCCGATTTGGAGGAAGTTTATTTTATAAGTTCCTTTTTTCAAATAAAATATAAGGTATATTAAAAAAAACTCGGAAAACAGTTGTAAAATTTTTTTTTCAAGGAAATACAGACCTTATAGTGTTTAAGAATTTGTATTTTAGACTAATTTTTAAATAGCCATATCTCAGACAATGTAAATGATAGAGATAAAATTTTTAATGTTGTAAATATAATTATTATATTATATATTTAAATTTAATATATATATTATTATATATAAATATAAAATATTCGATTAATTTAAAAAAAGTTTAAACAATTTAATTTTTTTAAATTTAAAAGAATTTTATAAGGGTTCGAATAGAAATGAAAAAACAACAAAGAAAAGTTTTAGTTAATCTATTGAAATTTGGCTGTCTTTAAATTTTGGCTTTAGTGGGTTGTTCAGGTCTCACTGTGCTTTCGATGCTCTTCAAAAACAACGCTGTTTCGAGTATTGCCAAGTACTCAGCATAAGTGGTTTTAGGAAATATTCGAATTTTTAAAATTAGTTTATAGTCCGTATATAATAAGTTTGGACAACAAGTGTCAGGATTTCAATTCGTTGAAATTTTCATTGTTGTCGTTTCATTTCTATTCAAACCCGATTACCTTTTAAATACTTTCTTTTCGTCATAAGACGCGTCGGCGAGAAAAAATATATTATATATATATTTTTTCAAAATATAAACCGAAAATTTAGATTCCTTATTTTTATTTCAATTTTGCAATTAGATGCAATTTTATTAAAAAAACTGAAATTTTCCCGATGGCATTATTTTTTTTAAAAAAAAAATTTATTTATGACATTTGTTTACCTACAATTTTATATATTCGTACCAAATTTTAGTTAAATGAAATTTCAATATATATGCTACAAATATATTAACTGAATATTTTAACTAATAAGGAGACTGAAGTAAATTTAAAATTAAATAATTTTTTAAATTAAATATCAATTGCAAAGAATTCAAAAAGTGAACTAAGTACTATTCCAAAATATTAACTTTTTATTTATGATCTGGATTTATCATTAAATCTTTTGTAAAAAATTAAAAAATGATATTATTAGAAACATTTTTAAAATAATTTAACATGCAGCTTCTGTAAAAGAACATACATTAGTAAGAAAAGAAAATCTAAATTAATTGTTAAAAATATTCCCACCCCAGTACTAAAAAGAATTTAGTATTTACCTACAACATTTTGACTATATCTTATAGTTAACTCGACCAATTAGTTAGTTAAAAAAAAAGCAATGCAAATTTTCTTAAATAAAAAAAATTTTTAACCTAGGAAATGACCTATCTTTGCCGTCATTATATAGACCTATAAGTATTTCGACTCAACTACCTAAAATTCATGAGAAACTACTACCATTAATTATGATACCTACAATACATTTATAACCCAATTGTATATAAATAATATATATAAATACATATATATAAATCAGTTGTGTAATTCCTCGTTTGAGTGAAAAGTTATATTGATCTAAAAATGAATAATATATCATAGAAAAAGAAGAAATACGGTACGTGTTGCTTGAACGCTACAAAGAAAGCGAAACAATCGCAAAAGCATTATATGGCGTTACGCCATACTCTAAATGTCGTACTATGGATTGGTTTATTCGATTTCGTTCTGGAAATTTTAATATATTGTAACTCTTGGTTACAAAATATTGATAATATAATAATATATATATAATAATATATTAAATAATAATATAATAAAATATTTTTATCAAAAAACTGTTAAAGAAAAATATCTTTGAAAAATAATAATCTGAATTTGTCTATTCTGAATTTGTCTATTTTTGTGTCCAAATCTGCAGTTATCTGCTAACTGGTTTAATAATTTTAAATTATTAATTTTAATTAAATTTTTTTATATATGTTTTTTAAAATTAATTTTTAATTTTATGTAATATTTAGATAAAATTGTTAGAAATATATAGACTAAAATATATTGGTATCAGTTTTTTTAATCCTAAAAATACTGTAAACCAGAAAAATATTTAATGCATTTTCGAAGAACAGTACCAATATTCTATAAAAAAAATAAAATATTATAACAATTATTTTTGAAAACAGTATATTTTTTAATATTTATTTTAAATTATTTAAAAGGTCTATAATAAAAAAATTTATATTTCGGACTAGTGGTGAGAATGCTACAGACCATTGATTAAGAAACTCTGATCTAGATGACTTTTAGAGCATAATGCGTTAGTTCATTCTATTGGTTTCTTATTATTCTATTGACATTATTTAAAATTTGGAATTTATAATTAAAAAAAAAATAAAATTCAAGACTATAATAAATAAAAAATAAATTTAAAAAAACCAAGCATTTAAAAAGTAATTGCAAGTGCATTTAGGGTTGCCAGCAGTTTTTTGTGTGAAATTTCATGTTTGTAAGATTATATCAAATTTCTAAGATTTATAATATATAAAGCAAACAGGCAAGCAGGACAAGCAAATCAAATCCTAAAGAATTTTTTTTTTTAAATTAAATTAAGTTAAATTTAAGTGTCTTAAATTTTTTCTTAGTAAATAATTCTTTTTTAAAATATACCGTTTTGATTTATACGGATTTTTAATCTTTTACATGATATATAAAATAAATATAGTAAGTATATGCACCAAAGATTATCAATGGATAGGATATATACATACAAAATTTAGAAGCGAATGCAAAATAAAGATTAAAGCAATTAGAGTTTAGACTTAATGTTGCTTTTGGAGCAATTAGTTCTATTGTGGAATAGCTTATTAATATGAATCAGTATTGTGATTAAAGATTGCATGCAATATACTTAAAGAATATAGATCACACCCCCGTAAGTTAATGGGTTAAAGTAACGGATAGTGATTTAAAGATTTGGCTCTCATTTTACTTTAAGCAGAAAAACTCTTCAAAATACACGCACTCACCTCGCGAAAACCTATTTAGGGGCAGCTGGATGCGGATACTGTGTATATGCCTCATCGGGTGATGCAGCTGTGCTAGCTTGTTCAGAATCTGTCATTGGCATTGTTGGAAAAATTGTTGGAGGTGCATAGTATGGATAAGTTGGACTAATATACTGTAATGATGGAGAAAAGTTCTATAAAAACAAAAAAAAAGAAAAAAATTAAAAGAAAATATATTAACACAAATTAACATAGTATTTAAATATTGTACCGAATTAAAATGACAAATTATTATTTAAATCAATGAAAGAGGATATTGACGTATAAAATATAATTCTTCAATACATATTAATATTTAAAATGTATTAACACATATACAATAACAGGATTTATTCTTATCTTTTGTATTATAATTTTATCGTACTAACCGAGCTGCCAATTTGTAATGTGGCCAATTGTGGCACCATTGCTCCATATGGTACAGCTGTTTCTCCACTAACCATCATTGATATACCACGAGGTTGTACCTGATTCACAGCATCAGGTTTATAGGAAGCAACGCCAAGTTGTGGTGCAGCAGCCATTTGCATGTACTAAAATGAAAATAAAAATTAATATATTTAATAAAATTTTTTTTTTTTTATTAAATAAATGAAGGTTTTTGTTCTTATAACTGTCTCAACCTGAATGGTGGTATATATCATTAAAAATGAATATTTAAAAGATTAATATATGAGATGGGAAAAATTATATTCAGAATTTGAACTGGAAATATCATTGGACTATTCTGATTTTAAAATCTGGCTGTCAGGCAAATGGTGCTTGATTATCGCAAGATAATAATATACTTATTGATGGACATATTATAAGATAATTATTTACACTATTGTGCTGCAAATTCCATGGCCTTAGAAACAATTCATGCAAGAGCATTTTCCGCCTTATTTTTTCGCTGTACAGTAGTGATCAAAATCTGTAGCCATGATTGTTCTAAATTCTTACTAAATTTATGTTAAACGTCCTAAATTTGACAATTGTTTTCAGTAAAAAAGCTTTATTGAAGAGTAGTGAATTGCAACAACAAAAATTTTTAATTATTTTTAATTAATTGAATATTTGGCTATTTACTACTTGGTTTCGTGTGTTGCCAATTATCGTTCATTTCTTATATTTAGTTATTCGTAAATAATTTTTTGAGACTGCAAATAGCAAAAGTTGAACTCATACCCTGCCAAATTTGAAGCTCAGAGTCAGTATTCATTAACCAATTAATCCAAATTTTTATGTTAAAAACTCTATGACTTTTTACTTCCATTCCTTCCTTGCAGGAGGATATTAAATAAAAAATTTAATTCAATTAAATTATTAGAAAATAATTTTTTGATACTGCAAATGCCAAGTGTTGAACTCGTACTCTGCCACATTTGAAGCTCGGAATTAGTGTTCATTAACCAACTGACCCAAAATCTTATGTTAAGAATTACGCGACTTATTCCTTCAATTCATTGCAGGAATATATTGAATAAAAAATTTATAACAAACAACAGCAAGTAATCGTATAATTAATCAATATAGTAGATGTTATTATATATTTATTTGTTCCCGAAAATTCTATATTCGCCTTTTAATAAAAAATTTATTAAACAGATTTTTGTAAAACGAATATGGATATAATATTTTAACTTCATTTTCTTATTTAGTCGGTATTTTTCCCAGACAAATTTTGCCTCCATTATTAGGAAACACTAGTGATTCAATAGTAGCTGTATCTACATTTTGGGACCAATCGCGAATAATTTCCATTAGGTTAACTGCCTATGTTATAAAAACAATGCTACTCCTGTTAATCAATATCTTTTTCAACATTTTCTTACATGATCTTCCTGAGCAATAGGTTGTGGCATCATATAACCTTGTATCCATTGAGAACCAGCCATTGGATAACCACCAACTGGTGGTGGGAAACGCGAATATGGCACACTAATTGGAGTGCCAACATTAACACTAACACCATTTTGTTGCATTGCCGGATCATAGGTAACTGGTATACCTTCAGAACCATCACGCCACGCTCTAGCATTGGGATCGGGAGTTTTAAAGAGATTCTTTTTTTTGGGACCACCATCAGCAAATTTAACTAGTAGTGGATCTTTGGCACCCTGTATTGTGTTCCCATTGAAAATTTGTATAATCTGTTCACATTTCTCACGACTTTCCATGCGTGCAAAACCAACGCCTAAAAGTGATATATAAGGATTAAAATTATAGGCAAGGAATTATATTACTTTAGAATTGCTACTCACCTTTAGAATTCAATTGTTGATCGCGTAAAATTCGGGTAGACACAACCTGCCCATATTTGGATAACATATTCTCTAAGTCGGTCTCCTTGAAATGTGTAGGCAAATTTGCTATATACAAATTTGTTGGGTCCTGCTCCTGTTGCTGTATGCCATAATGTGTTGGTTGATTTGGTTTGTGGTATGGTTGAAATGTTGTGTGGATATAATGTTGGTATTTTTGAAGTTCATTTGTAGTTTGGAAATATCAAATTTGTTTAGTATTTTTTTGTTTTTTTTTGTGTTTAAATTATAAGTAAACAAAATTATTTGTCCGTTTAGTTCACACATATTCAAACGTACACAAATAAGCAAAGTCCCAAAGCATTTGGCATATGTTATATGGTGTTAAGTGTTTATATGGTAAATGCGTGTTTATGAGTTTTTGCATTTTCAATGTTGACACAGAGACATAGTAAGATGAAAAAATTTTTGATTTTAAGAAAAGAAAAAAAATGTTTGGTTAGTTAAATTTCAATATTTTAAATTATATTAGTAAGTATTATTTTTAATAGCCTGCTTTTAAATACGGGTTTATGCTGATTGTTTAGTTTTTGCTTAACGTGTTGTGAAAATGTATATATTAGTACAAGTAGTAATTTGATTTTTTTTCTTATCTGTACGTGTATATACCTAGCGTTCTTATATAGATTAAGACACCTCAAAAAATACTACTCTGAAACTTGAGTGCATAAATGTAAATTTGAAAAGAAAATGTTTAGAATTATAAATAGAAATAGATATAATGAATTAATAGTTAAAAAATCAGGTACTTATAATAAATCTAAAGTATTACTCTACCATAAGTCTCATGAAAATAAATTTGCCTGTATAAAGTATTTGCATGAATCAGAAAATCTTATGAAATGTATAAAATATCTATTTTCTATTTCAAAATTGTCTCTCATCTCTAACATAACAGGTTTTTAAAATAAATTTTTGAGTTTTATTATGAGTTGTATTTAAACGAATCAGATAAGAATGGTTTATGATACAGGTACTAAAATGATCTATTTTTTTATTTGCAGATTTTTCAATAGAAGTCTCTGCGAAAATAAAGGTGAAGATAGGTTGATAACTGAAAATTGATATAGCAGCTTAAGACAAATTATATTCGTTTTAAACTAGAATAATATAGTTAATTTATTAGTTCAATGTAAATTTAATTAATTAAAATTAATTAATTATACATTTTTACTAATAATTTAATAAAAATTCAGTCAAAATAATATTGGGTTGAAGGAAAGTATTAAGCGATTTTCTGTCTTTTTTCATTGAAGTACATTTGGAAACTAACCATTTCGAACAAAAGAAGATATTATATTATAAAGACATCAGGCATACATTTAAACCTATTGATTTTTTATATTACTGATGGATATAAAACTTTCTTACAAATTGTGTTTCTTGTTAAACATTATTGTAAAGCAAAGATGAGTGAAATAAAATGTAACATATTCTATATTCAGTGTATGAAGAAGTTACTTTACCGTAATCAACTGACTGAAGATGGGTCACTAGTCGCTTTTATTTTAAAGCTCAATAAAATTCTCGGTAAGATACACAAAAACTGGCTACATCACTCAGAAACTCACTAATAAACAACAACACCATTTAAAGCCATTTCTCAAAATTGTTTAGAAAAGGAATATAGAAGTTTGGACCACTCATAAACTAAGTGAAAGAAATTGAATCAAACAAATTTGCAAAAGTGAATCGATATTTAAATAAAATTTATTATTGTATTATTTTTATAGATTATTTGTGAATTTCCACTATTATTAAGTATTATTCATAAAACAATTGATTAAAATCCCTACTGCTTGGCTTAAAAAATAAATTAAAAAAAAAACAATAACGAAATTTAAAAAATGAAAAGTATGTGGCTGTGATAACACTATACCTCATATATATTTATGGTAGGTTAGCTGAAGTGGAGGGAGAAACAAGTCCTCCTCAATTAGCTAAGAAAGTCGTTTTAATTTAAAAAATCTCTCGTAATAATGGCTAGAAGAATGGTTATGTTAGAGCCAACCGAAAACATTGATAAATGTGAGTGTCTGGCCAATGCTAATGCTGGAAATAGTGTCGATACGTAAAGAAAGGGGGCACACAAGTTTAAACCTGGTACTGTGAAAGTCTGGAAACATACATACAACTGGTGTTTGGGTACCTCTTTTCCTCGAGCACCGGTAGATATGTATTTTAGGATATACTATAGTGTAGATCGAGCTTAGCCCCATGTTGTCCTATTGACCAGTGTCCTGTTAAAAGAGATATTAACTAGATACTTCTGAATTGTTACTGTATACCAAGAGGTCCTGCATTTGAAAAATTATAAACTATATATATAACTATATATCTTTATTACTTAGCAATAATTGAGATAATTCACTTTTGCTATCGTATGTATTTTTTAGTTTTTGATGTCCCAAGATTTAGTGGAGCCTCACAATTTGTTATCCGTGAATAATCTGCACAATAGTAATAATAACCAAAAATTATGAGAAATATCATATTGTATGGAGGTTGTACTATTAATAATAATTAATTAATATTAATTTGTCAAATAAATATTTAAAATAAAGTCTCAGAAACACAGATTAGAAATTTATAACAAAACAAATTACTACTATTCTGATTATAGCTTTTCTTTTAAATTTTGAAATCAAATTTTTTACATATACTATTTATATATATTTGAATTTTCATATATTGTAGTATATAGTAGAGTAAATTTATTTTTATGCACTCAAAATAAAAAGTGTAAAATATATTTTTGAAATATAGTAGATACATAATTAATACCAAATAGGTTATTATATTTTTTTTTGAAAATACAATATCTTTAATATATAATTCATAATTTTTATGATTAAATATATATAACGATTAGATTGTCAAAAATGTTAATTACTTATTTAATAACAAATAAATTATTTATAGTTACTTTGATATGCATTAATTTAGGCCGGCGCAGCAGTAAGTTTCTGTACTAATTTTACCCAAGGAATGTTAACTATTTTAAGTACATGATTTTCAAAAGATATTTTAAAATCATCAACTTTTTGATTCTACTCAAAAATTACTAATTTACATTTTTACCTATTAAATATATGAGTATAGAAGATTTTCAAATGGATTTACGTTTTGTATGTCCTAAGATTCTCTACAGAAATTTTAAATTTACAATAATATTCATGTTTTTTGTTTTTACTTAATTCAACATTCTATCTAGATTTGTACTGCAATTATACGAAATTTTAAATTCTAATAAAAAAAGCTAATAAAATTTATAAGAAATTTTTAACTACAATTTATTATGAAAAAATTGTTAAATGTTGTTAATGTGAGTGTTGTGTTATATGTGGTCCCTACTCTAATTCAATAATTTTTAATATCAACAATAAAGTTTTTAGCTTTATTTTACAATGAATTATTTTTACAACGAGTAATTTATGTATAAAAAAGGACAAAATAATTACATTTTTTTATGAAACAAAAACAACAATAATCTTTATAATTTTTTTTTATTACTTATACATTTTTTTATCTTTATTAATAATAATTAGCGAATTTTTATTTAATATTATTAACTAATTTTAAACGGGTTTAAGATGGGTTTAATTAATAATATTAATTATAAATAATAGTACAAATAATTTGAAATAATATTTTATAAACTACAATCCCTTATTTTTTAATTATATGTATAGTAGTAGTAGTATTTTAGCTTTATTTTACTTCATTTTAAATTTGTTGTATTACCTTAAAATTTATAACAATTATATTATATATAGAAAGTTTACAGCTATGGCATTTTAGCCGTCGGTCGGCTATATGTATATTCAGCAGACGGCCTAAAGCCATGTTGTACTTTTCTATATAATCCTATATTTATATAGGATATAATATAATCCTATTTTTAATTTACTATAAGCGTAAACATAAAAATTTTAAGACCCATCATTTGTAGGTTTGAAATTCAATTAATAAAGAGAAAACTTAATTAACTAACTATATGTGTATATTGGGCACGTAACGTATATGGTGCAACCTACAAATACATATACTTTGGTATTGGAAGATACAGTGTACCACTGCGGATCTCTCATAACCTGTGAAAATCGAATGCATGTATTTTAATTGGAATCTAGAAGGTACGTATCTACAAAGTAATCTAATAAAAAATATACATATGAAAAGTATACGATTTTAAGTAATTGTGGAAACCCTATGGTTTACTATGAGAAGAAAATAAAGAGTACTACAATATGAAGAGCTGTTTTATAACTTTAAAAATTACTTATAATTTAAAGTTGTTCAATCTTTTGTTTTTAATTTCAAAATACTCTATATATAATTGTAGAATTTTATATTATAGTTCTTTTATAAGGACTACGTATTTATCGATTTATTTATATATTATATATATTTATTTATTTATCTCATTATTATTATTTATTTTTATTGTATTTAGTAATATATATTTAGATATGCATATTTATTTTTGAATGCGGAAGTACTAATTTATATCAATTCTATCTTGATAAAAACTTAGTAAAAAATGACGCCTTAAATAGAGAAAATGGTTGAAAACTATTCATATACGATGTTATATGTGGAGTTACGATACTACCCGTAGTTTGTCCCAATAGTAATTTTTTTTCTCAAAAGTTTTTAATTAAAACTAAAAATAAATAAAAAAAACTTTACTAATAATAGTTATGGAAATTTTATAAAATAATTAGTTGAGTTGAGTTGTTGATTTCAATCAAAACCATATAAAATGGTATATTAAACACGTAGCGATTTTTCTCAGAATGTTAGAAAAGCGATAAAAAAAAATTGTCTATTAATTATTGTGGTTTTTACCATCTGAAACATCTGAAACAGTTTGCTACATCTTGAAAAATTAAGTAAAATTTTGTAGATACAATTTGTTATTCCTAGACTATAACAATATAATATACATATACAGGGCGTTTTTGACTTATTCATCATGAGGTAATTGTAGCAGTCAATCTAGTTGTTTAATTTATTTAGACTTTAAAGGATCTTAGAAATAAAACAAGCAGGGAAAGGTTATACTTTCACTATTGAGCTAGACACATGGTGTCAAAGAAAGGTCCAAAATCCTTTAATAACTCAAAAATGGTTCATTAAAATACTCTAATCTTTTACCATTTTATTCCGTTAAACATGGTTTAATTTAAAACGTAAAAAGTCTTTTTACTTAAATAAGTCCAGTATTTATTATACTTTTTTTTTAAAAATTTTCAAAAATTTTTTTTTATTAATTCGTTATAATAATATGCGTCAAGCCAACCTATTAAAAACCAACCCATTGTATTTGAAGCTAATTGAAAAGAATTAATTGAAAAGTAATCAACCCCGTAAATAAAAAAAGCATATTAATTGATTTAAAAAAAATACTATAAAACCTTCATTTTGTAATATTGAAAAATCTTCTGCAAATCCGATAAAAAATTTTAAAACCGATATTTCTGGATTTTGATATTTTACCAATATTTTATTTTATCGTTAAGTTTCTTTTTAATATGTTGGATTGTATTTGTTTAATCGTGTTTCATGTTAACAAAAAAAAAATTTGAAACTAGCAATATGAAATATTATATGAAAATATAAAAAGATATTTTATCTACGATATTAATTTTAATTGGGATAAAATAAAAAGTAAAATTAATCAGTTTTGCACAAATATCTTTTTTTTTATAAAATTATTATTATTTATGACTTCTTCTTACTAAAGGTTTGTATACTATATAGTATTAAAGCTATAATATAATATAGATTACTAAATAACATTTTTAATTCAAATTATCTATAAAAAATCACAAATCCTAATTAATACAAAATTGCTGCTATTAATTTTATGGGGAACAATTTATTGCTATTTAATATATAATAATTAAGAATACGAGTAATAAATAATCTATTAAACTATAGGAACTGTTATCTTAATACGTTTATAGTTTAAACAAATTTAATGACATTTGGTAAAGTTTTTAAATATTTTTTTTTGCTACAATACTTACTAATAAATAATGTTATATAAAATAGATAAAATTAAAAAAGTGTAATTGGATTTAATAAAAATTTCATTGTCTATGAAAAATAATTGCTAATGTATTAATGAATTAACTATATTACTTGTACATATTATACTGATATACTACTCAATAAATGAAGTATAAATTTTTATATTTATTTGGCTACTAAATCTAAATCTAAAGGGAATATAAAGTGGGATAAACTACAAAAAAAAATTAAAAAATAATATTAGTAAAAAAAATAAAAATAAAAAAAAATATTAATAAAAATAAAATTAAAAAAAAAAGAATAAATAATTTATTTCGAACAAATGAAGAAAAAATTTAAATATAAAAAAATTAAAGATGATTATGGTTTTAGTTTAAATCGATCAATACAAAGTTATTTCGAGTATATTTTTGAGTGTTTGTTACAAGAAAGTCCTTTATAATTAATTGCATTACTTTAAATTAACAGATTAAAGCTTTTAATCACTGACAATATAACATTGTTGTATTAATATATAATATAAATTAATTGATCAATATAAATGGAATAGGTTAGATTAAAAATGATTTCATCATCATTTCCAATCGCTTGATAGCTGTGTCTCTTCATTATATGAAAAAAATATTTCACCTCCTCTGGTAACAAAATATTTATATTATATAGAGAAAAATATTAATAAAAATATTTTCTGATTTTTAAATAAATCTACCACAGTCTGAAACAATAAAATTTTATCAATTGATTTTTGTTTTTTATATTAAGTAGGCACTCAGTAATAAAAAACTTTAAATTCAAAAGCTACATCTCCAATGCAAGAATTAGGGTCAAAAAAAAGTCAGGGTCGAGACTGAGACACTGAGACTGAGGGTTCCACTTGCACGAACTCGGTAATGGTTAAATATCGCCGTATTTGTTGGTTCTGATAGTTGTTGATGGTTGTTGTATGCTCTCTGTAGGTACCTTTGGACTGTAGGGTCAGGACTTTTTCAAAATATCTACTCAGAAAAAGTTTAAGTTTGAGGTGCTGTTAAGTCGAGCAGCAAGATACTTTTTTCATTTATTTATTTATTACTTGTAAATATAATCTGTAGATACTGTACCATTGAATATAGCATACATCAACTGATAATGGCTGAGAAACAGTCTTTTACATTGACTTTTGACTGCACATTGACCTCTACGGTGGCTAAATGCATCCATTCGATTTCTAGGCATTTTACAGCACTGAACAATACCACGCTGTGTATATGGTTATATATAACTCATTTTTGTTAATGGTTAAAAATTTCATTGATTCATATTTACACAGCATTAAAATAGTTTATCTAACGGGATAAGACCATACTTCTCCGTAAAAATAGCCATGATCGAAAATTAAAAATAAATTTGAACAAATTAAATTGATTTTCTATAAAAGTGTAGCCTTTTGAAAACTTTTATTTTAATTGGACTATTTTAAAAATATATAACAATGGTAGATAACCAAATAAGTTCGAACTAATTGAAATAAATTTGCGGCCATATGCTCCTCCTAGGAGTTAAAGGAATTTATATTATGTAGAATTGAAATAAATATATAACTTTTTTATAATTATATATTGTATATAATATTTAATATTATTTATAATATAATACTTTCAATTAAATAAATAAAAGTCATGATTAGTAGTTTTTTCTTCGGGGTAACATTTAGCAAAAGACAAGTTTTTGTATAATAGGTCTTATAGAAGTAGTTCAATAAAAGAGAAGAAAATATCGTATACTGATTACACATAGCATGAAAGTGAGGTATCATTTTAAATAGAGGATAAAGAACAGTTGCAAAATTTAGGAAGGTTTTACGAGTATTTTAAAAAAAGATTTGTCTGAACAAAAAAATAATTAAAATTATTTTATATGTAATAATTGCCAATATGTCTTTTTTAATATTATATATTTTTAATATAATATTATAATTATTATAAATATTTTTTACTTTAATATGTTATGTTAAAAATTATAATTTATTATGTAGCTGATTGCGAATAGCTTATATTTTATCTCAAAATTTACATAGCAAACTATAACCAATTAAAACGTAATATTCATATTCATATGCTACATGTTATTTTGAAATAATATTTTCAATGCAGTTCGTGATAATCCAATTGAAATCTACATTAAGTTTCTGAATATAATTTTTTGCTTATCTTAAATTTCAGACAAAGCGCATTTAGATATTTCAATTTGTTTGAAATAAAATCCATATGTATATGGATACTCTACAAGTAGAAACTATGAAATCATTTATGCCAAATAGAGCTTGTGTCATTATGCGATATGAATATAAATTTAAGTAAGAAATTTCATAAAACAGAAAAGATTTTTTGATTTTCGTTCGAAAAAAATTAATGATTTCTTCGGAACTAAGATTTGTAAAATTTATTTCGATTTTTACTAATATGCTTAGAACATCATAATGAAAATTCAACAGAAACGTGGGTCATTATAAAAATACATTAATATAGATTAAAAAATAATTATTTGCAGTGAAGTACCTAAGTTTATGAGTTGGAGTAAAAAAATGGGTCAATATGTTGAGACGGTATTAAGAGGGGGAGTTCCCGACTTTCTGAGTGTCTTGATTTGATCATGGATTTCGATCAATTTCAATATTCAGTACAACTTTTCAAAAACATGGGGATATGAATGCTATAAATGAATGAATAGTGTGAATTAGATTTTCTAATTTTCTGTACGTCTTGATTTCACAATAAATTTTGATAAATTTCAATATTCAGAAAAACTTCAAAAACGAGAGCATATGATTGGTATAAATGAATATGGTGGGTGATTCGCTTCATTCTGGTCTGTCTTTAACGGCTAAGAGTATTAGAAAGTTGATATATCGAATATAAAATTCATCACCGGTCGATTAGTACCAAATTTTATTTCCAAAAGAGCATCGAAAGTAGGCATATTACAGTATACATGATTTCCCTGGGTATATAAAGTCTGCTTGATACGTATTATAAATAGGAACTATTTCGCGCAACTAGAATTCAACATAGCCATTGTTATGCTATAGGTTTTAGCAAAAGACTTGACGAACGTGAAGGGCCATATATCTTACCCACTTAACACGTCTTTGCGCGATATTTTTCTGTGTTAGAAGCTAAAATTACAACTTGGAAAATAACTTGTTAAGATTGTAGATATGGAAAAAAGCTTTCTTAAGAAGTTGAATGTCATAACTTAATAAGACTATTAAAACTTTCTATAAAATTAGATCAAGCGCTGGAATAGTTGAACTGCACTCACATATGTAGTATGCCCTATCACATTACATGTGATAAAATGTCATGTTTAATTCAGCATTTTTTTGTAATTAATTTAATGTTTATAAAAAATTTGTGAATTTTATACGCAAATCTTAAGAGTTCCATAGTAAACAATCAAAATTTGGAAATCAATACTTTACATACATAATGTTTAAGAGGTTGATAAAACCTAATGACATATCGTTTTAAAATGATAAAGTAATATTTGAGTATTATCTTTATCTCTACAAAAACACCACATTTGCCTATACTGCATTAGTTTCCGTAGATCCTATGACGAGCAAAGGGTCACACATTAACCGAAATAAGACTTATTTAATAAAGAAGAGCTTGTAGAAATCTTGCCGTGGACAAAACTATCAATTAAAACTGCATAAAATATCTTATCATTAAGAGACAATTTTTATGGAAGAATCTCAAATCAAACTTGTAGTTAATCTATATACTGTATGTGTGAATATAATATTTTTATATTTTAAAATAACATAACTCAAATAATATAAAAGAAAATAAAAATAAATAAACTTATTATACTCAAAACAATTATAGTTATTGTTGTTTTTGTAAAATAAAAAAAGTATATATATACTAATAACAAATTACTATAACAAATAAATATGTAATGTACTAAGTTCACAAAAACAAAACTAAAGAATTTGGAGTATGGGATTTGGTGAGGGGTGAATATTACTTGCATGCAAACAAACGTACAATGGCCGGCCTATGAAGCACCCAGATACCCACTTTGGCCATCTGAGCTTGAACGCCCTTTGCCTGTAGACCCTTGACAGCTCCTTCTGCATATGCTGGTAATTCGAAATCAACAAAACCGTAGCCTGAAAAGATAGATACATTTTGTTGTTGTTTTGTTTTGTTTTGATTATTGTTCATTTATCAAAGCATAATTAATACATAAAAAGCAAAACTTTTTAAACTACATCAACTACTAACTACAATAGGAAAAAAAATGAAACAAAATTATAAGAAACTTTAGCAATATTGGAAAAAAATATACCATATATAAATAAAAAACAAGGAAAAAAGTTGTAATTAGTAACTAATAAGAAAGTTGACTAAATGCAAACATTTATGAAGTTACGAAATTTGTAGTATAACTTTATCTTTGGTTGACTTTAATAAGAATATAAAAAAATTAGTTTTTAAATTTTAAAAGTTGGTTTCCTCTTAATTGAGCAAAGTGGAAACTAAATTAAATATCAATTAATTCAGTAAAAAGTTCTATCTTAAATTTTTATTAGAAATTTTAAACTACATACGTATTAAAGCACTGACTTTTATTAACTTTTTTCCTTGTTACATTTACAATAATGCAACTGTTTCTATCTACAGTATTCATTATAATTACTAGTTAAAGCAAAAAACATGCTTGAAAAACTATCGACAGTAAATAGAAAAACTTTGTGCATTTTTTTATTAATGACACAACAAAAAACATAAATTAAAAACTGAAAAATGTAAAAAATTTAATTGTTTTTGTATTTTTCAAACATAGAAAAATTTAATAGATAAATAAAAAGTATGATAAACTTAAGTTCAAATAAAACTGACAAAAGTAAGACTTTAAATGTGACTTTTAATAGCCAATAAAAAATTACACACCACAATTAGGACAACACAAAAAATATTAATTTTATTACATTTTCAGTAATTCAAAATTAATATTTAAGTAATTAAAAAAAAACACATAAATAAAGATGAGAAATGGTGAAGAAAAAAATACCTTTACATTTGTTTGTTGTTTTATCTAAAATAGCCTTGGTTGAAATTATTGTTCCATATCTGTAAGATAAATGAAAAAATAATTAATTTGATTTTAATGTACATTTTTTTATAATGATATAAAATTATAACAATTGATAAAGTAACTCATACCGCCTGATAGAGAAAAAAACAGAAGAGAGAAAAATAAAAATACCACATATAACTATTAGGCCCATGTTATGTAGAGAATTACGGGCACGTCAAAATCGAAATCGTTGTTGCTTTCAATATAAATTAAAAAAATTAGAGTGAGAGAAGAAAAAAAGTATTAGTTTAAATTCGAGGCCTCGTTACTCAGTGCCTCATTACTCAGTGAAAGCAGTCTTATATATAAATATATACATTACCTTTAAAATTTAGGCTCAACAAAATAGTATTAAAGTAATAGTAAAAATATAACACTGCATAATATGCATTGTCTTCATAGCCTGAAATAGTAAATTTTGACGTAACACTCTATATAACATGGACCTTAAGAATAGATAATGATAATAACTAGATAAAACTGAAAAACAGACGACGTTTAGCGAACCTATCTCAGCTGTAACGGCCATGTAATGACTTAAGAATTATGCGGTAAGACAAGGTTTCTGAAAAGGTGATAAATACCATGAAATGTTACATCCGATGTAAGTGAGTAAACAAAGAGACGATATAGTAGTGCGTTCAGTTCATGTAGAGTAGATAAATTTTCTATAGGTAATGACGTAGTACTTAATCGTCAATTGTTGACAAAAAGGTTCTTATATTGCATTACAAAAATTTTATCATTTGAGAGAGGTTTGTGGTAAACAGACAGTTTGAGAACTTGTTTGTTGTTTGGAATGCCTCATTGTCCTACTATATACAACTCAAGAGTTTAAAAACCACTTTAAACCTCAAACATAAAATACTTTTCAAAGAAAGGTATTGAACTAACTAAGTTCCATAAAAACTCAATCTCTGGCACGATTAACCATCGTTGAGTACGCGTTGGTCTTACCCACAACCGTAACAGAAATTAATTAACGCGGTATTCAATCTTCGAGAAAATTCTCTTATAGGATAAAGTCACTACAATACTGATATTCCTATTAGGAATCACTAGAATTTCTCTTATTTAAATGGACTTGCATGCAGATGACTGACATTGTTGAATCCAACTTTGTACCAAATTGTTAAATACAGGTAAATTATCTTTAATAATTTTAATACATATTTTTTAAAACATATATATAAGAATATTCTAGTTTATTCAAATAACCCTCAGATGAAGTATATATAGAAAATAGTTAATTTAAAATTAAGTTTAAATTATAAGTAAGAATCCTAACATATTTAATTTAAATTTATTACTTCGAATGAAATGTTTATATCTTAATTACTGTTCGTAAGTAGGCAAAATTAATTTGTAATTTATACTAATTATATTAAGAGTTGAACATAAAATGTTACTTACTGTGCGCACATGCTAACTAAATCCTTATCTGTTGTGCCTTGCTGTAATCCTCTAATGTATAAATTTGTTTTTGACAATTGTTCACCCTGTTGCTGTGTACCGTTATTACCTGTAGGACCCATTGTTGTATTTGTGTTGGTATTACTCAGACTAGTGCTTAATGTGCCACTCTGGGAGCCAGTATTTGATGAGCTGCTTGAATTTGTGTTACTTGGTGAAGCCGCTGTGGGAACTCTTTGTCCGTACTAAAATTAAAAGAAATAAAAGTATATATGTTAGTAAACTTGCAGTTAAGTAGAACTATATTAATATTTAGTGAAAAATTTCATTAATATAAAGTATGTTATTTACAATGATAACTTAAGTGTATATAAAAAATGTATGTACAAAAATTAGCTATGCGAAAATTGATCATTTTAATCTAACAGTTCGTTTACGCTCTCGCAATTGACTTAACAAATTTGCAGTAATAAAAGGAGTTTTCTTATAAAATCCACACAAATGTGGGCTGAATTATAATAAGTGTAAACATAGCATAAAATGACTACAGCATAATTACTTACGTTCCTGACAGTGCGTTTACACTATTGCAATTCGCTTAACAAATATGCGGAAATGGGACTTAACCGTGTAAATCCAAATTTGTTAAACTTTTTTTAAAAAAGAAAAACACTTGCAACTATTTAAGTATAAACAGTAATTAATAAAATTGTTTAAAAACACAGAATTATTTTTATAAGTAAATTGAAACGTTTAAAAGTTACAATCACCAAATTTTATATTTTTGCTTTTGCAATTTTTTTTTGTAAATTTGAAAAATTATGACATTTACTTCTTATGTCACTTTATATATCTAATGTCTGAAAAAATACTTTTACATTTTTGAACAATTTTCCCTACACTAACCATTATAATATTTGACCTCTTGTCATTTTTATGGTAGATTCATAAATCCATCCATATAGAATGTCTATGATTTACCGGCGAAGAGTTTTGGTTAAGCGATTTTCAGTGGCACTTTGATCGGTTAATTTTTCACAGTTAAGAAAGTTTTGCAGAAACCGAAAAAAAATGCTAGTCAGATAGTACAAGGTCCGGGCTATAAGGTGGATGCATTTAAACTTCCCAAACAAGTTCTGCCAATTGGTTTCGAACTATCAAAAACGTATGTGGTGTACCATTGTCATGTTAAAACACAGCAACTTTTCTGTAAGTCTGGTCAATTCTAGTAATTTTTCCTTGATTGTTTTGTTCAAGCGTTCGAGGACCGCATTAACCGTTGTTCCAGCACCAGGTTGGAGTGGGTCATAATAGATAATTTCATTTTAATAACAGCAAGCATTCGTCAATTCAAGTTTTTAAGTTGTTTATGGAGGCGTTTGATCATGTTGGGTTGCGTTGGATATTGTATTGTATTTAGTCCATTTCTGACTAGAAGATGAGCTGTGCTGATTCGTCTTAACCACAGTTTGATTTCGTTAACAGCGTTTCATGGATAGTAATTAAATTTCAATTAAATTTCTTTACGTTAATTTAAGTGGTACCCAAACATCGAGTATCCCTGCGGCGCCTACTCTTTTCAAATGATTTTAAACAGTTACGTGGTTGATGTTTAATACCTCTGCTATCTTCTGATACCTTGCGTATCGGTTTTGGTACAAAATTTTATTTTTATAATACGAGTACCCAATTCAGAAGGAATATATTTAGAAGTACACATATTCCAAAACATGTGGAATATATTTAGAATTAAATATGTACATATATATTAATGTATATATATTTTGCATGTATATGTATATACATATATATATATAAATATAAATAATATAAATATTAAATATATTTATATTCATATATACATATGGAATATATTCGTATATACATACATTAAGACCGAAAGGTTTTCGGATATTCTCATTTAAAATTCGCGCGCTGTATATTTTTCGATATTTTAAGTTTATGTAGTTTGCAGCACTGTCCTTAATTACTATGCCAAAAATGAGCGCGATCTGTCGGACAGTTCGTTTACGGCAGCTGTTGAAACCAGTTCACCTCAGTAGTGCGTTGCGAAAAAAACAATGGAAAAAAATATTGAACAAAGAGTTTGCATCAAATTTTGTTTTTCGAACGAAATTTCGTGTGCAGAATCGTTGCGAATGCTACAAAAGGCTTATGGGGAATCAGTTTTATCGAAAACTCAAGTTTATGAGTGGTACAAAGCCTTTCAGGACTGTCGTACGACCGTCGAAGACATGCCGCGTTCTGGACGACCTTCGACCTCTACCACCGACGAAAACATTGAAAAGGCAAAGGAAATCGTGTTCAAAAATCCTCATGTGAGTGTTAGAGAGATAGCACGAGAGCTAGGCATCGGTCGTGAGATGGCTCGTTTGATTTTGGTGGACAATTTGTGTATGCGACGTGTCAACGCCCGGCTTGTTCCGATTCACCTCAATTTGTTCAACATTATCAACGATTTTAAGGCCAAACATTCAATAAATACCATCGAACAGCCACCGTATTCACCTGATCTTGCACCGTGTGACTTTTTCCTGTTTCCCAACCTCAAATTACCACTCAGAGGAACGCGTTTTGAATCCATAGAAGACGTAAAACAGAATTCGCAGAGGGAACTCAAAGCCATACCGGAAAGCGCCTATAAAAAATGTTTTATGATTGGAAAGAAACGTTGGCATTTGTGTATCGCTTCTAATGGAGCATATTTGAGGAGATAAAATAAATATTGATGAAGGTTAAGAATGCGTTTTATTAAAATTTCCCGAAAACTTTTCGTCACAATGTATTATTGTGTTTAAAGTAAATTTAATTCCAATAGTAATTTATAAAGAAATAGATCACTAATTAAGATCTCTAATTAACTATTAAGGAGTTTAATTAATTGCTACATTAATAATTTTCTTTTAAAGTTTATTCCATATAACTGTCAGCTTCGTTTTTATTTTCTCGCTGTTTTGATGCTTTTACTTGGCACTTTCACCTTTAAATGAATATGCTTGACAGGGAAATAATATTATCAATTTTGGCGTACCAACTCAATAAATTATGTTAATAATTGTTTTTTATTAAGCTTTATAAAATATTTCAAAATTTGGGCATATATATATATATAATATATAGTTTTCTATATATATAATAATATAATATAAGTAATTTTTTGTTCATTAAAATAACGAATTTAAAAAAATTTTTTTTTTATTTCAAAAATTTAGCGTAGATTTTAAGAATCAAAATTAAATGATATAATCCCATATAATTTATTTTATTTATTTATAAAACAAAATGTAATTAATTTTTTTTTGATTTTTTGATTTAAAATATGGTCTAAAGTTATAACTTAACAAAAATTATTATAGAAAACAATTTTATTTTGTGATGAGTAAAAATTTAAATTTCATCTGGCATCATTCTGATAAAATAATGTGCTTCATTGTTTTTTTATAAAATAATATAAATTTATAATAAAATTCATTGTATCGCAAGACTTCAAATATTTCTAACTAATTTCTTAATTCCAGTTTATTACTGTGAACGTAAATTAAATTATTGCGCTACTCACTGACGTACACGGCGGCTAATTTTTTAGCACAGACTTAAGAATACATAGTAACATACATATTTCATATTATGAAAGTGACGTCATTTTAAGAAATTTCTAATTACTCTTATTGCTCACATACATATACATCCATATGTAGAGATATGTATATATGTATATGGGTATGAAAATATAAGCAAAAAAGAAAAAAAGGAAGTAAGATTGAACGCATCCATTTTGCACAACAATTTTTTGACATTTTAAGTAGATTTTATTGTAAATTTTGTTGTTGTTTTCTAAGTGTTTACACATGTATGTATGAAGACGTTTTTATGTTAATGTTGTTTTTGTTGTTGCTGCTGTTACTTCGCATTAAATTAAGTCTGTCGTTAATGATATAATTTCATTATCAAAAGTTCATTGGCTTAATAGAAGTTTGAAATATTTGTGATTGTGTATGTATATCTTTGTTATAAGTTTGTATAGAAAAAAAATAACTAAACGAGAACAAGTGGCAAACACATTTATTTATGCATATATATTTAATAAACAAAAAGATAAAAAAATGCAAAAAAAAAAATAAAACTTGGAATTCATTATTTGATTATGTTCACCACAAGTTGGTGCTGCGGTATTCTATCTCCATACATATCTATACATATCTATTTTATATGGTTAATGGATGTGTTGGCGGTGCTAATATTGCACAATATTACCCACAGACGCTCTAATACCAAAAACCAAATACAATGTATGTTGCGCTGTGTTGAGCTGCTTTGACAAACCAGTGCGACGTACGACACGCATATTATACGCAGCTATACCAAAAATGAAAACAAGCACAGCAAATATAGCAAATACAATTACAACAATAACAACAACAGCATTGATAACAATAATAACAACAGCAAAGCAACGGGCACATTTTATAAATCTGATTTATTTACATATAAGCAGAAGTAGAAGCAGAAGCAGAAGCAGCAACAGCAGAGGCAGCGGCAGAAGCCAAAGCAGAAGCAGCAAGTGTAACGTAACGGTGCAAAGCGTCTGAGTAACATAACTTGTATGGCGCACTCGTGCTAAACAGGAAGTACACCCCAAACTGCTGCAATTGTTTACTTGCTGAGTGCGCTGGAATTTGTTGTGTTAGCATGCGTGTGTGTGTGTGCATGTGTGCGTTGTTTATTTAAGTTTGTATACGTGCATAAATTGTATTGTGTGTCGTCCGTCGTTTATAAGTAAAAAGTTCATTGTGTGTGCAAATATGCGACATGTTCTGAATTAGTAAACACGTACGGCTTTCATTCTTCTAAGGAAATTAGGTAGAATGACATAATAATCCTTTTAGACTGAGTATGATGATGCAGCCTATATAAAGGCAAGCAACATTGTATTCGATTAAATCTCATAATTTTTAAAATAAGTTTAAAAAATTTGAAAATTTTTAGCATGTATGAGAAATAAAAATGCAATAAAAATAAATTCTTTTAAAATTTAAAAATATTATTATTACGATTTAGACATATTTTTAAAATATTTTTATGTGAAAACCAATGTTAGTCTTTATTCTCGGCATGAAAAGGCAACTAAGTAGATTTTCCATTAAAAATAAGTAGAGCGAAATTTTTTCATGTGTCGAAGTTTGCCGTTTTTATGGGTTCAGAAATTAACATCGAACATAAAATC